AAAAAATGGAAAAGGTTACTTTGGGAATAAAGCAGGCCAGTTAAAGCCGGGTGGGGCTTTTCCATCCATCCAAGTCAGTCCCAGCCGGGCAAGCGCGCCTCCTGACAACTGGCTCGTGGTTTTGGTTTAGGTTGTGTTTCCTCCTTCCTCAACATCTTAAATATTCAAACACCTGACTCCCTCTGAGAGGAAACACCCCAGAACACTGACATAAGAAGAGAAACAAAATATCAAAAACACTGAAGTCAGTGAATCAAGAGTTTTGTCAGCTTAAAATGTGTCTAAAGTTGTTTCCCAAACAGGAGATATACGGAGGAGGTGCTGCACTGCCTGCAAACTTCCGGAGTACTGTTTGTATAAAATTAATATCCTCCGAGGATAGGGCCAATATGAGAGTTTACTGCATAGATTTCAGACTGTAGGGCTCTTCTAGTATTTAGAATGTAACCTTGCCCTACTCTTAGGAAATTAAGTCAGCACCAGCAGGAGAACTTGGTTCATGATCAGAAAGTGCTTTTCTGATCATGAAAATCACCAAGATTTCCCTAGCACCTGATACAAACTTTTAATAACTCTGCAAATTACAGGTGAGGCAAAACATATGTCTACTTAGAAGAGATAAGCAAGCAAATCTTTAGTGCACTAAATTATCCAGATGAAAATGCTGCCTGTTTTCTTTCCTTGCAGATTTAAAATAATAGTAATGACGATTTAAAATCTCAGCGCAGAGTGATATATACCATATCACAATTTCTAAGTATTTTAATTTACTTAGGCACTACATTCATTTAGACAATCTTTAAAACACATCTCAAATTCTTGGGTAAGGCGGGTGCATCACTTACAACAGCATGCACATTTATATAAATATCCAGTGGATGGAACCGCAAAACAGAGCATTTAAATAAAAGCGGCTCTATCTCCAGGAAGGATTCACCTGTATGGGGCAAAAGAACGCGTATTTGAATACTGTGCTTTAACAAGCCTATCCTAGCGAGTGCTCGATGGATACAACTGAAAGCCAAACAATCAAATCCACGAATATCTTCGAGGATGAAAAAAAAATTTCACCGGGTGCTCAAAATGCAGAGATGCACCTGTTAAGATGAACCTCATTACAATTTGCGTAGTTAGGTAAAAAAACTCCTTATTCAAGTAAGAGCTAAGGAACTACCGAATAACTAACTATGGAAGACTCATGCCAGGCTGCCGAAAAAGAGACCAAAGCCTTGGTAGGCAGAGCGCTAAGGTGGGCAAGCCTTACAGCCCTCCCCCAGGGTGAGCGGGACTTGCGCGTGTGATGGACTTCACTCCCATAATTATGTTACATGGCAGAAGGGGTTCTGCGGGTATAATTAAAGTCCCTCCCTAATTGGCTGACTTAGTTAAAGGGCAGATTATCCTGTGTGGTGATAATCAGGTGAGCCCTTTTTAAAGAAGCAAAGAGATTAAAACGAGAGCCTCCTGCTGGCTTCATTTTAATTTATCTTTCATTTTTGACGAATAGTTTTGCTGAATAGAGTTGGGTTTTGTTTTTTGGTTTTTTTTTTTTGCGGTACGCGGGCCTCTCACTGCTGTGGCCTCTCCCGTTGCAGAGCACAGGCTTCTGCGGCACGTGGGATCCTCCCAGACCAGGGCACGAACCCGCGTCCCCTGCATCGGCAGGCGGACTCTCAACCACTGCGCCACCAGGGAAGCCCCTGAATAGAGAATTCTTGGTTGACTTTTTTTCCTTCCAGCTGCCTCTGACCCCCATGGTTTCTTTTTTTTTTAAATACATCTATTTATTTTCATTTTTGGCTGCGTTGGGTCTTCGTTGCTGCGTGTGGGCTTTCTCTAGTTGTGGCGATTAGGGGCTACTCTTTGTTGCTGTGCGTGGGCTTCTCACTGCAGTGGCTTCTCTGAACACGGGCTCTAGGTGTGCAGCCTTCAGTAGCTGTGGCGCACGGGCTTCAGTAGTTGTGGCTCATGGGCTCAGTAGTTGTGGCTCGTGGGCTCTAGAGCACAGGCTCAGTAGTTCTGGCACATGGGCTTAGTTGCTCCGTGGCATGTGGGCTCTTCCCGGACCAGGGCTGGAACCTGTGTCCCCTGCATTGGCAGGCGGATTCTTAAACCACTGTGCCACCATGGAAGCCCCTCCCCTGTGGTTGCTGATGAGCACGCAGCTGTTTGTTTTCTGAGGACCCCAGCTATGCTGAGCTGCTTCCCTCTGCTGTCTTCAGCTTTCAGCAGCTTGATTATGACGTGTCTAGGCGTGGGTCTTTTTTTTTTAATCCTACTTGGAGTTTGCTGAGCTTCTCAGATGTGTAGATTAAAGTTTTTCATAAAATTTGGGAAGTTTTAGGGCATTATTTCTTCAAAAATTCTCCTGCGGGCTCTGGAGAAGCAAAGTGCCAGGCTATAGAGAGGACCATGTGATGGGGGTGGAGAGCAGCCTCCACCGGCCGAGAACGCCCCCTGCTGACAGTCAGCAGGAGCGTCTCAAGTGAGATCCAAGACCCAGGCCACACCTTGACTTCAGTCTGGGAAGGCTCTGAGCAGAGAACCCAACTGTGAGATCATAAATTTGTGCTATTTCAAGCTGCTAAGTTTGTGGTGATTTGTTATGCAGTAGAAAACGAATACAGAAGCCACAAGAGGAGAACTTCCAAGGCTCTGGTTTTGAACATGATGGCTTCAAAATGTTACTTGAAATTAGATCATTTCTCTTTGGGTATTTTTTACTTTTTTAATTTGTGGTACGCGGGCCTCTTACTATTGTGGCCTCTCTCGTTGCGGAGCACAGGCTCCGGACGTGCAGGCTCAGCAGCCATGGCTCACGGGCCCAGCCGCTCCGCGGCATGTGGGATCCTCCCAGACTGGGGCACGAACCCACGTCCCCTGCATCAGCAGGCGGACCCTCAACCACTGCGCCACCAGGGAAGCCCTCTCTTTGGGTATTTATCATTCATTAATTCACTGAAAATACTTACTAAATGCCTACTTTGTTTTACAGGTCCTGTGCTATGTGCTGAGCATGCAGGGTGAACAAAAGCAGAGAGGTGGAGGAGGCACAGGGAATGGCAGGGCCAGGCCTCGCCCTGAAGACACCCAGGGCCCAGGCTGGGTCCCGAGAGAATTAGCGGCAACCAGGTCAAGACTACGTCAGCAGCCTGTGTGCCTGAGGTTCAGTCCCAGGGGAACGGTCTAAACTGATGGGCCTCAACACTGCATTAAAGATCAGCCAAGAGTGGAAGGAGCCCTGACCAGACACAGAGCAACGTCCACGCTCCACTCTGTACCAGTGAAGTCAAGTGACTGCGGGGAGAGCACAGCCATCTAGGTTAGTTTTCATTGCAGCCAGGACTGAGAACTACTGACGTAAAGCTTTTCAGCTTCCTCTGAGGGGCCGGGATTACTGTCCCGGAGGCCAGGTTCGACCTCAGCCTGAAGGTGGGGTGTTTGGCAGTCCTCACAATGGGGAAGGGGAAGATGTGCAGGCAGACACTGGAGGCAGTGTTTTGATGCCCCAGGCTAGATAACTCAAGGAAAAACATTCCTCTAGTGTCCTGATTAGAAAGGTTAGGACAATAAATCCGAATTCAAATGTTTAATGTGCATGTCCAGAGAAAGTAGCCATAATGACCAAAGCTGGCTGTTCCCATACAGGCCCTAATCATGATAATAACGTGCATGTCTAAAACATCTTCCAGCCCCATGGGAGGGAACACTTCAGTAACCTTCAATTACAAAAACACATACTCATATAGACACACGTACTCAACGTGTTATGACTAAAGATAGGAAGTTGTACTTGGGCTCTTGTATTTCTTGGTTGATCTGTGACTTTGAAAACTGTAACACCAATATCTTTCTGACGTTCCAATCAACCAAATCATGCCACCACCTCCCAAGTCCCAAAGAGGCTTAATGGTTAAATTAAAGGTTGCCAGTGAAATGCTCTTTCAATAAATATTGAAACATTTTACAAACAGATCATAAATCAAAAATATTATTTACTATCAGAACAGTAATTTTGAATGAGTGCTTTAATAAAATTCACCCTTGTTTCTTTGACCTTGGACAACTTAGTTTATTACTGTACAATGGCTGGAGAATTACACTGGCTGTGACCCTCCCAAAGAAACCCTGAAGGTGGTTCTTTGGTTCCCTTCCTTGGATTCCATTAGAGCAGGAGCTAGGTGTTCAGGGGCATCTGGAACCACAAGAACCTTGCTAACTACCTCTTGGAATCATCCTTAACCCAGCCTCGACCCAAGTGGTCCACGTTACCAACTCTACCCCAAGGCCAAAGGACTATTTTGGCATGGATGGCGGTGGAAGGAGTATACTACAGGGAAAAAAGAAAGAAAGAACAAAAAAAAGCAAGGTTCATGATTACACGCAAATAACCAAAATCAAGTACTTTTAGTCTGAAACCAGAACTAAGAAATCTGGTTTTTAACAGTAACTTTGAAAGGCTAGCTTGTTTATATAAAGAACAATGGCCATGTGTGAAACGCAAGTGTAGAAGACCAGGTCACTGACAGGAAGAGAATAATAGAAACAACAAAGAGAGTGATAACTTACACTTCCTGTGTGCTTATAACCTGTCAGGAATGGATCATGCTTTTAGCATATATGAATTCATCTTCATAGTAGTCCTAAGGCAGAATACTACCTAAGAATAGAAATAACAGGGTCCCGTGCTCCCTCCACTGTGTTATATGCCTTTCAACGTGCCATTTCAGAAGAAAATAGCAAATGTTTCTCTTCAGGTGATTGGAAAAAAAAAAAAAAAAAAAGCAAAAACACAATATCTTGGTATCAGGGTGTCTCCCATGATACAAGATTTCAGATTCTCATTTTGATCTTCAAAGGCTGCAACTAGACGGAGCTGGAGGGACAGGAGCAGAGCCTTGGTTTCCTAGAAAAGGAGCGATAGTGGTTTGCGTGTAGGCTTGTGGGTGGTTTACAAGTTCCCATAAATGCCTCTTTGTGACGCGTGCCTAAGGACATACCTTTCTCACGTCTGAACTCTTTGGTTCTGTCGTCCAGGTTATAATTCTAGAAACAGCAAGCCTTGTCTCACTAGAGTTTATGAAATCTGTTGGGTCCATCTGCCTAGCGAGAGACTCGATGTACTTCAGGATTGCAACTTTGACCTGAAAGATCCAGCAATTATAAACAGTAGGTACACTTAATAAATCTTTGAACAGAACTCTTAAGTGGTGCTCAGAGAAAAGTACACACTACTGAGGGGACACCGCCTTTCTCCTAGATTTATGTTTCTACACGCAGGGGCCCTCCAGCAGGGAAAAAGCGTGAGATGACTGACAGGGAAGCCTGGGAACAGAAGGGAGGCCTGCAGCCTAATCCCCTTCCCTCTGTGACTGCCGGGCCTGCAGAGAAGGCAGGCTCTGCTCCTCAGAGACGCCGCAAGACACGTGCCGGGCAGGACCCCCCGTTGGAGTGAGGGGTGGAGGCACCAGGGGGACCCCCAGCTCTGCCACCGACCGCGGGGCAAGTACAACTCTGTGTGAGTTTTATTTTTCAGCCACTCTAGGCCAGGTCTTGCAAGGCAGCACTGAAGGTAATTCAAGCTGATAATTCTGCTCTAACTTGCCCACCGAGGTCTCATTTGGTTTTGACCTCAGGAGAAAAGGGTTATTATTTATTGGGCCTCTCCTAAAAACCTCAGCAAAATTAGTGATCAAAGAACAGACAATGTACCTGATGCCATTCAAAGGAGCACATCCTCCTTCAAATACCATTAGTTCGTTCTTACAGGTATGATGTTTATAAAACATGTCAATTCATTTTTCATGTGTTACGACATTAATATTAAAAACATTCCAATAAGATACCTATTTTAACACATCAAAATTCTCTACATTAAATATTAATGTGAAGCACTGTAATAATGCCCAAATGTTGGTAAGGATGTGGAGCAACTGGAGTTCTCAGACACCGCTGGTAGGAACATAATCTGATATAACCAGTTCGTCAGTTTAAAATAAAGTTAAGCATGTCCCTACCCAATAAACCAGCAACTTCTCTACTATGTACTGAACCAAGAGAAATGGAAACATGTTGCTCACAGCAGATTTACTCACAACAGCCAAATATGAGTCATGTATAAACAAGTATATTTTAAGCAAATTTGACTTCTACAGGTTGAACTATAATGACAAATAGTTACCGACCTTGAGGTTAGGAGTTTGGGTTTGATCCACAATAAATCTCATCAAAATGTTAAATTGCTGATCAAATGGAAAGGAGTCCCTAGGTTTAAAAAAAAAAAGTATTTTAAAAGAAAGACTTATTACAAAAAACAATGTAAAATCATATAAGAAACAAAAATACACTATTATAGATTCCTCTAACATATGTAAAAAGCAAGCATGTTTATGTTTTTTAAATATGACTTTTCATTTTATGTAAATACTAAAGTAATACACATTACATAGAAAACTTATTTCTTTTTTGTTTTGTCTTTTGGTTTTTGTTTAGCTGCGCCGCATGGCACACGCGATCTTAGTTCCCTGAACAGAGATGGAACCCGGGCCCAGCACTTGAGAGCACCGAGTCCTAACCACCAGACCGCCAGGGAATTCCCTAGAAAATTTAGAAAAGGGGAAATCTTGTTAAAAGTCCCGAAACACATAAACTGAGCAATGAATGCCTGCTTGCCTTCTTGGGATCTGCTCGTCTTCTTTCCAGGTACCTTTCGGAATACTGCTCACATGAGAAACACTTCCATTGCCCAAATCTAACTTTTACATCCCGATGAGGCTGCTTGCAGCTGCCCTTGCTGAAACTACCTGCACAGTTCCTGGGGTCCTCGCTGGGTAACCGCCCGTGAGCTGGCTTTGTGCGGTCACCACAGAAGAGCGCCCGTGGGACACTCACCCAGAGACACCCATCTCCAGCTACAGACACACACAGGAGCCTGGGACCCTAAGAGCCCCACTCCGGCTCCACTTCTCACCTGCGACTCATCTCATTTCTCATGGTCCTCTCACATTTTTGATCCAACTGAGTAACCCTGAGGGCTCTTGGCGAGCGAAAGTCAGTGCCCTCTCCCTTAAAAAGCCACGACTGCTAGTATGAGTTTAAAATTGCCTGAAGGAGCCCTTGTGCCTAATGCAGAGGTCCCTTCCATGCTAACAGGAAAGATAATGCAACGCAAAGATCTATTCCAATTGAGGCTGAGTGACTGCATCACTTTCTTTTAGACTCCCTTAGAGACGATTCTCAGTGTACGGAAGGATAGTAGAAAGAAAAGGGACGCAGGTTGGAATCTTTCAGATTACAGGACTGATTTGAAATTTAAATGAAATAATACAAGAAAAACATAAAGTGTGTGGCACATACTAGTTACTAGTAGTACCACCATCATAATTACTAATAAAAAGTAAACTTGACCAACAGCACATCCTTTCCTCCCACATCTATTTGTATCCAGGAAGCTCTGAGGACCACCTCTGGAAGCAAAGCGCATCTTAGTATATATGATTTAAGTGACTCATACTGGCCACACATCAAAGAAACAGACCACAGACAGAACACCTCTCCTTTCTTCTACAGCAAAGGGAAGATGAAGAATACATGTGAGTAATGGGTGCATTTAAGCTGGAGCTGTGCCCTGCTGTCAAGTGCAGCCAAAGGAAAGGAAACTGAAGCAGATTCACAATCAGGTCTATCACCTGAGGAACAGCTCTCAGCCACCACTGAGACGCCCTCGGTACTCACAATCCTAGATAAGCTGAAAGAGTTAAACATCTCAGCTGCTGAGAAAAAGGGACACATGCTTTAGGGACCTAGGCCAGGGAATTCCCTAGAAGAGGGTTCTTAAAGGAATGAGGCATCCAGGAAAACTAATAGGAGGGCACAATTATTTCCCTTAATCACCAAAGATCAGATATATAATCGTAATATTTCCATCATCCCTAAAAATCTGAAATGGATCTTCTGTCATTCATAAATTCACCTAAATTAAGGAAGCAATCTACAGGCTAAAGTCTGGCTTACAAATGTTTTCCTTGGCTTTCACAGTGTCATTTAAAAAAAATATACCTTGGAATATCTTGCCTTAATCCACATTTCTGACCTTTCTTGAAAAGCCTGGACCACTGGGCCCACATCCCCTGTGACCACAACTCACCGCAGCTCCCCAGCCTCTCGCATAACTGCCCTGGCTGTTTACATCACTCGTGTATCATCAGCTGCATCAGCTCAGCCTCTCTAGTCAACCTCTGGCCAAACTGTGAGGAATCCACTGGTGTAGAGGACTGTCCCCCAACTGCACTACACTTAGTCACCCACAGGAGGGATGGTGCCTGAAAGCCTTACTGCAAATAGAGTACGTTACACTGAGTTCACTGAAAATCTAAAGGGAAATCTACTTGGATAATAAAATTCTATAGCAGCACAAATTACACAGATCTCCGGGGTCGGGGACCAAAAGAAAAGCTGGCATCACAGTGTAGAGGAACAAATGTAGGCTTGGCAGCCAGAGACATCTAACAGATGCAAGCGTGGGGGACAATGACGGGGCAGTGTGATGCCCTCCACACTCTCCCGCAGGCCAGCCGGCGACCACAGGACACACAACAGAGTGACAACCGGCTCTCCTGGATGCTGGCTCCCGGGCTGCCACGAGCAGGAAGTGGGGCTCCAGGTGTGTCAAGTTACTCTCTGTTTCCTAATTTTATAAAGAAATGAGAAAGGGCCTTCCATTTTGACAATTCTATGATACCTACTCATATCCCAGTTTGCAGTAACGGGTCATATAAAAGTTACTATCTGATGATGATTTTCTGAGTGACCTGGAGACATCTGTTTATTCTTTTAAAAATTCAGCAATCTGACACATTCCCCTCCGTCATCCACCAAATCACAAGCTAGACATTACTGCGAACCATCTTCTGAGATCATTCAATTTCGATCACTCGTGTGTCGAGGATTTACTATTGCACAGGCAAAGATCAGAAGTTTGTTTCCAAACAATAACAGCACAGAGTCAGTTTTTTTACACTTTTTCTGAGTCTCAGTAGCTTTTCTTTTCTCATAAAGGCCAGATGGGCTACAAATATTGTAAGTGTGTTATCATCTCTAGCCAATGAACTGTTAATAGAAACTATTCCTGGATGAATGGGAACCCTATACCACACATGAACAGAAATATTTCTAGTGTGCCTTACAAGAGGTTGAAGCCGTAAAAATACTGAGGTCTTCAGGAGGATGCTCATAAATATTCTAAAGTGTTTTTTAAAGAGAAGAGAATCAATTTTCAATGTTTTTTTTCTTTTTTTTACATTTGTCTTAGGCATTCACAAAAATAATGTCAACTCAAGGAAGATATGGGCATTTCATCTCATGGACTGTTGGGATATTTCAACATATATGTTAATAAGAGAATGTGGGAATTAAGTAAGAAAGTAGATATTCAAGTGGGTGACAAAAGCCACGGGTAACAAAATGACAAGAAGCCACCTACAAAGACTCTCTTAGTATCAAAATGGTCTAGTGCCCCCACCCCACCAGTAGACATTTTCCCAAAGAGGACATACAAATGGCCAACAAGTACATGAAAAGGTGCTCAACATCACTAATTATTAGAAAAATGCAAATAAAAACTACAATGAGGTATCACCTCACACCTGTTAGAATGGCCATCATCAAAAAGACAAGAGATATAACAAATTGCTGGTGGGAATGTAAATTGGTGCAGCCGCTATGGAAAACGGTATGGAGGTTCCACAAAAAAATTAGAACTAGCGAATTCCCTGGTGGCCTATCGGTTAGGACGCGGCACTTTCACTGCTGTGGCCCACGTTCAACCCCTGGTCAGGGAACTGAGATCCTGCAAGCCACGTGGCACAGGCAAAAAAAAAAAAAAAAAAATTAGAACTACCATATGAGCCAGCAACCCCACTGCTAGGTATATGTCCAAAGGAAATGAAATCAGTATCTCAAAGAGATATCCGACCCCATGTTCACTGCAGCACTATTCAAAACAGCCAAGACATGGAAACAACCTAAGTGTGTTGATGGATGAACGGATAAAGAAAATGTGGTGTACATATAAATGGAATATTATTCAGTCATAAAAGAGAAGAAAATCATGCCATTTGTGACAACATGGATGAAACTTGAGGGCATCGTGCTAAGTGAAATAAGCCAGATAGAGAATGACAAATACTGCATATCACTTACATGTGGAATCTTAAAAAAAAAAAAAAAAAAAAGTCAAACCCATAGAAACAAAGAGTAGAATGGTGGTTGCCAGAGCCTAGTGGGGGGAGGGAAATGGGGAGATGTTGGTCAAAGGGTACAAACGTCCCGTTACAGTTATAACACTTGCTAAGAGAACATATCTTGACTGCTTTTACCACATAAGCAACAAAAAATGGTAGTTATGTGAGGTGAAGGATGTGTTAACTGACACTGCAGTAATCATTTAGCAATATATACATGTATCAAATCCTCACATTATACACTTAAAACTTACACAATGTTGTATGTCAGTTTTACCTCAAAAGCTGGGAAAAAACGATCTTGCCCCCAAACACTTGCCTTGTGACATCGAGAGCCTTCTGAACTTTCGCTTGCACAGATCCAAGCAAATCTGCTCCCATTTTCTTAAGCAATTGTGTGAGAAGAACAAAAAGCCAGTCTTGCAAGTCATCCTTATGAATTATTATAAAATCCACAAGCGTCTCCAAAAACATACTGAAAACCTAGACAGAAATGGAAACCAAGTATTTCACATATTTAATTCATGATTTCCTCCCAAGTCTCCAAAATGATAAAAATGCCCATCTTGGCTTTGTCCAGAATCGTAACTGGGGTTGGCACTGCCCACAACTGGACATGGCATAGGAGGCAAACGCAGTAACAAGAACAGATAAAGGAAAAGGGGTCGGAACTTACTCTCTGGTGTGAATTCCACCGCAAACCAGGCCATGCAACGAAACAGATTCCATGTTAGTCCACAGTGAAGTCATACAAGTTTCATGCAGTTTCTTAAAAGGCCTGAAAAGGCTACAAACTGACGAAATAACTCTCCCCTCCCTCTACATGCCTTTAAAATTCAGTACAGAGAGAAATTAACTTTGCTGCAAATATGAGTCTAATCCTGGAGGTCTTTCTTTTCTTTCCTTTCCTTTTTCCTTTCCTTCCTTCCTTCCTTCCTTCTTCTCTCCCTCTCTCTTTCCTTTCTCTCCCCCTCTTTTTCTTTAAAAAACCTTTTAACCATCATAATTCTATACTATTATTGCTCATCACCTAGCATTCAACAAAAACTATTACAGGATGAGGGAAAAAAAAAACTTGCATATGTATTGCTTTTCATTTCAGTCACCTATTTTGATGTATGCCCGTTCAGATTAAAGTATTATCTTTATGAAAAGATATTATAAGAGCCATACCAATCTTTATAAAAAATTATGGCTTGGGATGAAAGACACCAACAGTTGACATAACCCTCACGCTGCTGCGTGATCACCACTGCTCCCTACGGTGAGACAGAGCTCACGGTGGATCACCCCTGAACCAGTCTCAGAGAGGTTAGCGGTGGCACTGTGCACCCTACTTGGTAAATGAGTCCTGCTCTCCTGGGACAACCCGGCTATCACAGACCTACTCAGTTCTAGCTCAGCAACTGTTAACCACCAGGGGTCTCCCGTGAGACAGCTCAGAAAGAAGTCAATGAGCCCCAGCTGTGGGCTTCCTGGCTTAGCACAAAGGCAGCTAGCAAATATTTACTAAACTGAGACCTGCAAACTCACTGTACAAGAGCCTTCTGATGGAAACAAATTTCCTTCTTTATCCTCACATTCTGGTTCTGAATCAGCAATCTAGAGGTGACAGGTAATAGAAATTTCATCAATGTCCAAATCCATCTAATATCCCTTATGCTATACATCTTATGAATCTTATGCTTATGCTTTAAATCTTACTGCTTTTAATACTATCTTACAGAAAATCTTGATAATTATATCTCTGGATATCTACCTGGCCCTTAAACTCAACGTTTCTTGGATTTTATTAATACTGTGAATGTCAACCTTGCTGTGAGGGTCATAACAGGAATTTTAAGACATGCTTTAAGACCAATATTGAGGAGAACTGTTGCCCCCACCCCAAAAAGGAGCACCCCTGCATTCATTCTCCTATGCCCCCGTGAGCATTTCAAAAGGCAGGGAGGGGTCCTGTGTTGTCTTCTGTATCCCTAGCCCAGAGTGGGTGCTCAGTAAATGCTGAATGACTGCACGGATGGATGGATGATTGACACTTCACGGACAATTCCTGTGAGGACGAAAGTGTAGGAAAAGAAGGGGGATCACAGTAACTGGCTAGACTTTCTGGCCACCACAGGTTTCTTTCTCCCAGGAGGATTTATTTAGAAGAGACCATTTTTACTAGGAAAATGATAGTGTAAGACAGTTAAGTCTTTCACATCAAGCATTTAAGATTTGCTGGTGCTGATTTCTGGTTCCCTCAATTTCTGCTTTAGTTTCTGTCCTTTACCCTTTAACTTTCCCGATATCATCATTCCTCTGTTTTTTCTTTCTCTAAAACCATCGAACAGCAACAGACTGCAAAGCCTTCCTCCCAAAAAATGGTATTTATTTACAATCTAGACTCCAAGTGAACTTTTGTCAAGGGTCCCGCTCTCAGCTCCACTCCTATAAAGGGCCTGTCCCTCACTCCTGGGTGCTCTCTCCTCAGCAGGGAGTCCTTGTCAAAAGGCAGTCCTCCTCCAAGTCCCCAGGAGGTGTAGGCACCAGCTAAGTGACCACCATCCAGCAAATTCTTAGAGGCAGCAATTCTATTGGTGTCTGGAGAAATACTTAATGTGGTTCTTCAGTAAATCCATTTTAAAAATGCTTCCATTTGTCTATCTTGCCCCATATAGACAAATTCTACATGGGTACCCCCCCCAAAAAAATTACATAACTTGATTATTTTCTTCACTACTGTAACTTTTTTCAGGAAGGCATTACATTATAACACACTGTTACATCCTAGCACCCAGCCCACCATTTGGCTAAGTATGCAAAAATATTCGCTGAATAAGTAAAAGACTACATCTCATTCTCTCCATGGTAACCCTTACTTGAAACACACTTTATTTAACTTGATGTTGTATGGACATTGGAAGTTTCTAAGAATTCCGTTTTCAGAAGCCACAACAAACTATTGCTGAAATTGGGGTTCAGTCTGTAAGGTCTACACTGTGCTGCAGGGCTGGTATCCCACTCTGAAGTCGTGTATTATGCGGCCCACATAGACATGCAGAGAGGAACACAAGTGGGCACGTTCCCCAGACCTTACCTTGCTGTGAGGGTCAGCAAACATTCGGGTGAAAATCTCACACAATCTTTTCAACTCGACCCGACTAGAGGAAACAAAATAGAAATAAATAAATTTAATATTTAATAAGCCAAACTGAAATTAGTTACAGCTTCTCGAAATCCTTTTATTTCATTCCACTACATAAGCTTTATATAATTTTTATATAACAAAGTCCTTTCTTCACAAATCAATTATCTAAATTTTAATTTATGATGGAACCGCACAGGAATAAAAAAATCACGATCGTCTTGCTCTCATTCTAAAATGAAACTGAATCTCAGAGCGTGATCACCTGAGTTCACACATGTGGGCGTGGCAAAGCCATGAGCCACATCCCGCTCACCTCGTTGCAGGTGTGTTTCCACCACCCCAAATGAAAGGCAATGGGATCAACTAGGAAAAGCATGTGCTTCGGGGTCAGACAGGCCTGGATTTTAATCTCAGTTCAGCTAGAGCCAAAGTACTCTGATATCTTTGTATCCATTTCAGTGAACCAAGCGGCTGCTAAAAGGATTAAAGAACACACCCTACCTGCAACTGTGCCTGAGACGAAGCAAACACGCATTTCATGTTGGTGCCCCTGTGACTTTTCTTACCCTGAACTGTACTACTGAAACCCATTTCTACTTCAAGGTTTCATTAGAAAGACTCACCTTCTTCCCCAAATCATCCCTCTCAGGTTGGGTGATCCTTTAACATTGCTAACAATGAAATCTAGATCAGACCAACGCTAATCAACAGATTTCTAGAGATTATTCAATGGATACTTGGTGAACACTAAGAATCAAGAAACTGGGGCCACGAGAATTGAGCAGATTTCTTGACGAATGATGACAGCAAATCCTTTTTTCTGTTTTTTGACAGGTCACTAGAGCACCAGGGAGGACCTGCACTTCAGAGCGCATGTGGCGAAACTCCTCCTGACACGTGCACAGAAGAGAACAAGGGGGGCCGGGGGGTGGGGAGGGAAGGCGGCAGGAAGGAATAAGGCAGGGGCCAGACTGACTGGACAGCCACGCTTGAAGCCCAGTGATTCGTCAGTCAATGCTCCCATGGCTTTGCGGAGCCATCCATGACCATAGACACTTATCCAGTCTCACCATACAGCTTTAAAAAAGTTACCCGAAGAATATAATATAGTGTAGTTCAAACATCTCTGTGATTTTGAGATTCATCTTATAAGCAATGACCTATTAGTACTGTCATGGTTTAATAAGCAGCATTTCTTCTCAGATATAAAATAATGGTGTGTCAGTGGTGCCTTAGATTTGAGGAAATATGGTATAAACACATATTTTTGGTATATGTAATACATGCTCATTTTAGAAAATTTATGAAATATAGAAACAAAGAAAAAAGCAAAAATAATCAATTCTAACCCTAAAGAGTACTTTAGAGTACCCTATTTGAGTATCTCCCTACTCTGCATATTTATAAACTATACCTACGACTATGTGTATCAAAACATTTCAGATTGAGGCTGGTATCATTTTATCCATGACTCTAAAGTGTAATAAACCGTCCCAACCTGCAGACTTGTTTCACTTTTGACCTAAATTGCAAACTGTACCGAGATTTCTCAAATAACACCTAATAGACAAGTGTAAGCCATAGGGAACCAAATGCTTTCTAAACCTAATCAGTTACAAAGTGTTTGCCGGATACTTCAAATTCTCTGGAAGGCAAGGACCACGACTTAGCCCTCCCAGCACCTTTAGTGCCTGCCCCAGCGGCTGGAATTCCGTTAAGAACTCCCGAGATGACGGGAGTCCGGGTAAGGCCCCGGGAGGGCAACACGGGACTCAGCCTGAGTTCACAAGCCTGGCCTCCTGCCCTCACCTCAGTGTTCTCTGGCTCTTCAGCAGATTCTGCAGGCCCAGGAGCCCCTCCTTCCGCTCGGACCAGTTGGAGCTGGCACAGTGGTTGAGTACCTCGGCCACATCCTCGGTCTGGCGCAGGTAGTGGGGGATGCCCCCGTTCCGGGAGCTGTACGAGCGCTCGGAGCACACGCTGGACGCATCGCTGTTGGCGTCGTCGTCAGAATACATCCCGTACGGCTCATACCTCCTTCTCACGGGCTTCTTCTGCCAGATCCAAGGACGGGTCGGGGGAGACACGGACAGGTGACGTGAGTCTCACCAAACAAAACCAACAACAAAGCGCTAAACGTAGACACACACACAGGCGCATGCACCGCCCTTTCCCTGCGCTTACAGATGAGGGGAGTAAAAACAGAAAAGCAGACGTAGGGTGAGTAACAAGCAGAGCAGCCCACAGCAGAGAGGAAAGAGCATGATCTCTAGCGCGGTGCGTGGCCTTCTCAGTAAGACCGACTGGCTGTGTGACTTCAGAAAGCCTCCTCATCTGTCTGCTTCAGTTTCCCCATCTCTGAGATGACAACGATTATCCTTCTCACAGGCTTGTTGTCAGGATTAAGTGGAATTATATGTTAAACAGCCCGGCTCGGCACCTGACGCACTGTAAGTATGAGCGCCCACCAGCCCCTTCCCAATCAAAAGCAATCTATCTTGAGCATGGTCTGTGAGTAAATTTGTTTGAATAGTCATGCTTCCTTAAGAACGTCTGACACTGCAATGTCAGTGGCAGAGTGTCCTACATAAAAGGATTCCTAAATGATCTAAACCATTTTTATTAAGGACTTAAAGTTTTACAACACTAACAGGCCTTCTGTAGACTAGAATACCCATGTCATTCATTTCTCTTACCTCTGAATATAAAACTGTAAGTTAAATCCCTATATAATTTAGCAACAGCTACATAAAATAGATAAAACTTATAAAATACGGTTCCTCCGAGAGAAAAACAAATAGCTACTGGCTTAAACTGTACCGATGTAATTTTCTAGGAATGTGACTTGTACGACGGACAGCTCTGCCTTCCACCGACTGTCCCAGCATAATTATTAACAGCACCCTCTCTCACTCTCAAAAGTAACCTTGGCAGGATGATAATTATATGGTCATCTCACTTACCCATCAACTAGATTCCTAAGATAAGAAAAATGTTGAATGTATTCATTCATGAATCAATAACGACATAAGAGGAGACACAAACTAGGTTAATAACTAAAATGAAACACTAGTAGGAAAAGGGGCAGAGCTTGATATTCGAAAACACTGAGGCAAATGTGAGAGATGACCAGTTCCATCAGTAGCAACAGCATCACTAGTTTCCACAAAATCACAATTCAGAACAGAATTTCTATACTATGCTACTTTTTTTGTTGCTTTTACCAGCTCCTAAAAGGAAATATACTCAACAGAAAAAAAAGAAAAAAAAAAACATAAAACAAAAGTTAAAGCACTGGTACCTTGCTCCTGGAGTCTCCTAACAGCTGTAGGCAGGAAAATATTGAAGGATGGGGAAAAAGCATAGAGAATTATGTCAGAAGCATATGTGGGGATCGTTCTTGCAACAAAAGTGTACAGCAGAACATATCTTAGCAAACCAAAAATACAGGTTAGCAAGCGATTCGTGTCAAGCGAATAACAAAGAACGCTTTCACAATGGCATTTCCTAACCCTCCTACGCCTCTTACGAGACCTTCCGGTATCTACTGGAATTCTTTGCTGAAACTCTCCCCATAGCACTGAGGTATATCCCTAATGTAGCTATTAACTCTGTCGCCTGCTCCTAGGACAGATGCTGCCCCGGGACTTCTTTTCTGCGAGCAAGGACTGTGTACCATCCCGGCGCTGTCTCTTCTGGAGCAGGTCGCTTGGAGAGACCAAGCAGTTTGGACAAAACGTAGTAGTGAGGGCAGCAGGGGTGTAAGGGGAGCCGGAGCTCAGAGAAAAGCCCAAGTCAGGTGAAGGCAAAGCCCAGACTCTCCAGTCCTGCTCTGACCCCTGGCACTCTGGGCACTGTACCCCTCCCCCACACAGAGCGAAGTGCTGTCTCACCGAGGAAGGGCTTTGCGCATCCATCACTTCTCACCCCTCTGGCCCCCACTTCTTCAAGTCCCGGAATAAGTAAGAAACAGATTCCAAATGCTGCAACTTGGAAGGGAGGAACCGTTTCACAGAATTGTGCGCCACCTCGTGACTCTTAAGTTAAAGTCCTGCTTAAAGCAATTATCCTGAACTCCAGTATCTGCCAGAAAAAGCCCTCCTGCACACAAGGCTGATGAACAGAGCTGGCCGGGCAGCCCTCACCGTGAAACCATGAGGAGAGCGGAAAACTGCTTGCTCACAGATGCTTGCCAGAGAAATCTGGCTGAGCAGGAATAAATGAGGGAGGGCCGGGAGGGATGAGAGTTGGAATCACTGGGGCCACACGCTATAAAGTTTTGACTGGATGAAACACGGCTGGATTTAAAACCTCAGGGGTCTGATCCCATAGCCACACACTAGAAAGTTTTGATCCGACGAAACACGGCTGGATTTAAAACCTCAGGGGTCTGATCACTGTGGCCACACGCTATAAAGTTTTGATCGGATGAAACAGGGCTTGATTTAAAACCTCAGGGTCTGAAAGCGGGGTTATTACCTTTGTTCATTAGAACAGAACAAGTCTTAAAACAGTACAAGCAAGACCAGAGATCGGGCAGTTCTAAAGAATGTCTATTTTAAATGCTGAGCACATAAACCAGAAAGTACAAGAGGCTGTGTTACTACCAGCTGCAATGCATCTTTAAAAGGCCATTTGACCACAAGCTGATTCTACTTAGGAATTCTTTGCTATAACCACAAGTTTAAGGACTTCTAATCACTTTACGTTGCTTTTTTAGATATTACATTGTAACAGTGCAAAAACATACTTCACTAGTGCTTCATATACACAGAGAGTTGACCTTAAAATCTGGGAAAGTTTCCGTAAATAATGACTTAAGGACTCATTTAAACAAACAAAATCATATGGAACAACTAGTGAGGGAAATGGAATAAACGCAAGATTTTCAAACCACAAACGCTATGACCTACTGTTATACAATGATACGCTCAGGGAAGCCCTACGTTGCTTTTTTAGATATTACATTGTAACAGTGCAAAAACATACTTCACTAGTGCTTCATATACACAGAGAGTTGACCTTAAAATCTGGGAAAGTTTCCGTAAATAATGACTTAAGGACTCATTTAAACAAACAAAATCATATGGAACAACTAGTGAGGGAAATGGAATAAACGCAAGATTTTCAAACCACAAACGCTATGACCTACTGTTATACAATGATACGCTTAGGCTATGCCATCAAAGCCTGTAAAGCAACAGAAGCAATAGAAGGGAATAAAGGAAATGCTGAAAAAAAAAAAAAAAGATAAAAAAGGAAAAGAAGAAGCCCAATGACATCAGAGAAGCCTGATGTCATCACAACTTGACTGATACTGCGGAGCACAGAAGACATACTTGATGCTACTGTGTCTTGTAAGGCCAGTTTTCACTTACATACAGAGTTCACAGTTTAAGAAGAAAAGAATAATAATATAAATTTACACAGTTTAAAGAGTGTCAAGGATGATTTAGTGACCTGGTTTGGAGACTACTTCCTGTTAAGACAGAAGAACGCAGGTGAGTAATTCAAAGAGACTCCACACACGTCGTGCCTCTTACCAAAGCATCAGCAACAGCAGCTTCCAGATCTGCACTGGTGCTCAGAACCCGCATGGCATTCACAGAGCCAGGTATTCTTCCTGCCTGGCCGAGCCCAAACCGGTCTAGTTAAAAAACAAAAGCAAAAGATGTGTCACTTTAATTCACGTGTTTTCACTTCTTTGCGACGGCTCCTGCCTCGTTCCACTTACTGGACAGAGGACGGAAGCATCTCTAGTCAATTTTCACTGCACCTGACTTGTAGTTTCAACTACACCTGACCTGCTTATTATCAGTGGCAGAGGTTCACACTGTTCACATTTAAGACGATCGTGCCAAAAAGCATCCTGACAACTGAAACGGTTCTTTAATGACAGTCTATTTTTGAAAAGTGTTGAGACATGGAGGGGACCTTATTATAGAAGGTGGCTGGGCCATGAGGGTAGTTTTTTCATGTATACAGCATTCTCTCTAAAGGCTAGCGGCCCTGACATTTGGTCAAACTAATTAGAAAGCTTCATGGTTTGATCAATGAGTTCTAACACAATGTGTAATAAAAAGTTAAAATTTGAAACAAATGTATTAAATTGATCTCTGTGCAAATTTTCATTAGTGTCTCTACTGCTTAACTGTTATTAAGCTCAATTAATGTTAGGTATTTGTTCATCATGATGCCTGTGTCACCAAAGGCTATTTAAAAATCAGTTTATTAAAATTCTTTAATCTTCACCACAAAAAGCTAGTATCTTTGCTGCAAAACATTAATCATTCAGATAATATAAATTTCTCCTGAGTCCCTCAAAGGATTTTTAAATGATAATCTTTATACGTGTCAACCGAATGGACAGAATGCAAAACAATTTCCAACTTTAGCAGTTCAAACAACTATTCTAAGCCTGTTAACAAGCATGGACAATAAAGACTAACTTTTTAATTTTTTTGGCCGCACAGCTTGTGGGATCTTAGTTCCCCAACCAGGGACTGAACCCTGGCCCATGGCAGTGAAAGCGCCAAGTCCAAAGAGACTAACTTTTAAAAGTCCCATTACGTGAGCTGACCAGCCTTCCTTAAGAAGTGCTGAGATTACTTGGGACTCACTGCCCTTGTGAGGTCTTGCTGCTCACAGCTGTGGCAGCTCAAGACAAAGCAGTCCGGTAAAAGGTTCTTATTTAAAATGCTAATGTATAATAAACCTTTGGAAGAAAAATGTTAAGATTAAAAATGCTTTCTCTTTGTTAACAAATAAGACACTGTTTGGACAAGGAAAGTCTCTGCACGTGCCATATTCTAGTAATGAAGCATTTAGAAAAAATAAAGAAATAAAATAAAGCTAATGTCGGTTTTACATAATTGATCTTTCCTATAAAATGATATATTTAAAATTTTGGGTAGGTAACAAGACATCATCTACAAACTGGTGAGCTCTAAAAGTGAAGTGTTATATAGCTTTTTTAAATTGTCAGTTTCGAAACGTTATACCTTCCACTGCCACAGAAAGGGGGAAAAGATGTAAACACTGCTATCAAAAGCTATATCGTTATGAATTTTTAGAGGGAAACAAAAATTGTATGTTATACTATCCCCTTTTTTAATGCGCTTGTTGGTCGTACTGAATTTCACCATTACGTGAATGTTTAAAAGGTGATTTAATGTGCCATATAAACTAAAAAGAGACCACAGAACAATTCTCTCTCTCTCTAGAATATAAATCATCACCTGAAATAACATTATAAATTTGAGATTTATTATGCACATAGTTTTATAAATGATCTTTGTTCAAGTCTCTTTTTTTTCCATTAAAAAAGGGTAGATAGTAAGGGATTTATGAGTAACAGAATGAAAGTAATTCAGTTATAAGCCATTTAAAAATTACCCAGCATAAACGTAAATAAAACAGAATCTTAAAAAAAAAAAAAAAAAGTAGGTCTCATGCCAGCAATTCTTGCTCCAGGGATAATACTGATTTTTCAGACACAAAACTAAAACTGTAAGAACAAAGCAATTATTCTGTGCTTCCCAGATGCATACAGCTTTGCCATACACAGTGACTGCAGATCATTTGATATACACTGTAGATAACTGAATTTCAAATCTTAATGGGAAATGTTTGTCTGGACCTAAGAAAATTTATAAGGCTTTTGTTTTCGCCAGACCAAAATCTGCTCTACGTTCTCTCTGGTACTGTCCAGTTTCCATGAGATGGATATATATGACTGTGCCCTCAGTCTGGCCCATAATCTTCAGGGGAATATCCTAATCAGAGAATACATAATAAAATGCATAGGTGGCTTCATTTAGAGGAAAAACAGAGACACTAACTCAGTAAATTGGTCACAGTTGTCACCATCAACAGTCTGATTTAATAGATTATGCCTTGTACTCAGTTGATAAAACTACAGTCATCAGGGATTATTAGCGTATCAAAACGATGCCAGTTAAATCCGGCAAATTGATACATTATTGTATGCTCACTTTCTGCCCCAGAGGCTAACCAGGGCATTTGGGGTACTGTTACAATGAGGCTGAGATGGAGTGTTTCGGCTCTGCAGGCTGCAAAGGCTACCTTTGGCCTGACTTGATTATCCTAACCACGATTTGTTTTTCCATAAATGCTTTAGGACAATCCATTTCCTTCAATACATATGAAATGAGGTTTGCTATAATCTGGAACATCTGGTCACTAAATAGTACCTCCAAGTAATTAGAACCGGACGGTAGTAACTAGCGTTAACAGACATTTTATTGGGAGTTAAGACTGAGAGACGAAAGCCTCTGCTGGATGAGATCCATACCCCACTTCCTCTGAGGGACCCTTCAGGACACCTATCTGGGGCTGCTGTTTTCCTGGGGGAGGGAGTGAAAGGAGGGGCAGAAGTGCTTCCCCATCCTTTTGTTTTGTTTTGTTTTAACATAAATACGAACACTGGAAAAATGATGTCGTCAAACTGGCTACAAAGCATCTACGACCTATTAACAGAACCATAAACATTCAACAACTTAAAAAAAAGAATAGAAGCACATCGTGGGGGGCAAAGAAAATATGAGGTGCATACATGCCAAGTGCTAGCGGACACTGATGGGAACAGATGTGACAATGAGCGTGGACAGGCATGGCATGCATGAGCGCGTGTTCACCTGACTGCCCAACAGAGTCAGCCGTGGCAAGAGCACTAGTGGACCTGGAATGACGTCGAGAGGCTGCAGGTAAAAGGAACGGCAACACCCACAGGGTTAACACACGAGAACCTGAGACAGCAGCGGCCACAGACCGGAGGGAACGCGGGGCTGCTCCCAACGCGGCCGTGTTTCCTCACGGAAAGAGATGGTGTTTGGTGCGAATGGACAGCGAGTGCCAACCCCCGGGCTGCATGCGGGGCGCTGGCACAGGAGGAGGGCTACCTGTGCACCCAGCGGCCCCCGCCCCGGGTGCACGCTGCCCCCCGGGTGCACGCTGCCCCCGGGTGCACGCTGCCCCCTGGTGCACGCTGCCCCCGGGAGCCACCGTCGCCACCACGAACTGGGCACGGGAAGGACGCCAGGGGCGCGCTGAGGGGGCGGAGCAGCAGGATGGGTCACGCCTCCCGTCAGGGTGCGATGCACACGCGACCATGCACCAGAAACAGAAGCGGAGAAGTTCACACAACGTTCTCTCAACAGACACAGAATGAAGTCACAAAAAGGGGGCTTTCATATACAGGATGGATACACAACAAGGTCCCACTATGGAGCACAGGGAACTCCATTCAATATACTGTGACAAACCATCATGGAAAAGAACATGAAAAAGAACGTACGTATGTATAACTGAATCACTTTGCTGTACAGCAGAAATTAACACAATGTTGTACATCAACTATACTTCAATAAAAAATAAAGAAAATACTTCATGCTTCACAGGTAAAATATAAATCAATTTAAAAAAAAGGTGGGGGGGAGCTCAACAACTGAATTCCATTTTCCCTAGTCAACATGTGTGCTGTTCTGTTGCAGAAATATCCCAACGATTAATGAACTCACTGTTTTAACTGTTGGAAAGTTGGCTGTAATAAGTTTAACAGCTTTCCTTGGAGAGGCATTTGCAGGCCTCTGGTTATGAGCACCAGCTCCGTGACATATGGGGGGCAAGTCCTGGTCAGATCACAACTAGCTGTGTGGGCCTTGGGCAAAGTACTAAACCCCTCTGTCTCAGTTCCTCATCTGTGAAATGGGGCCAACAAGGAGGGTAACCTCCTCTTGGGAGTTAAGAGAATTAGGAGAGACTATACATCAAACACTTGAAACGCTGCCAGGCACAGAATAAACCGTGGTGGTTAACAGCAGCAGTGCTGGTTAATAAATGTTATTTTGCTAGCAAGTACTCATAATATTATATCGCATCAATTCATCAGTCTGAGAAAACATACACCAAACTCCATCCTCATGTGGAGAGAATAACTTTTAGAAACAATTATGAAATACAGGCTTGGGTCCAAACCTGAATTTATTGACCCAAGTGCCACATAATATGTGGCTTTTTCTTTACCTCAAAAAAAGAAAAAAGAAAAAAAAGAAGAAAAAAAAAAGGTAACATGCTTCTATCATTACTTGGAAAGAACATGGTGACTGTAGCACAGAGAGTTCATAGGTTTCACAGAGTGACACTCAGCAGTGCCAGAGTCCAGAATCCTCCCACATTTATATGCTTAGTCATGAAATGGCAAAACCCCAAACTCTTCAATACAATTTTATTTACTTAAGCTCGTGTCACCTTGTGAAATGTGCATATCTGCGGGATAAGGGGTACTGAACAGCAAAGGTTACCTGGTCAGTAAGGACAAATTTTTACCAGCATGCAAAAGAAAAAGAAAATCCCTAATTCCTCGAGATACACAAAAATAAGTTGGCAAGCTCTAAAACAGGTATTACAAAACAATCACTTTCCTTAAATAAGGAAACTGGCAAAACATTTTATAAGACTGAAGCAAACTATTTATTTCTTATACAAGCACAATGGTTATCGTATCCTGACAGTTTAAACTGGAAACCATGTTTAAGCAACACCTGATCTGAAGGTTCCTTATAAAGTCGTCCTTTGGTTCTGTTTCGACAGAATATTCTACAGCAAATCTGTCAAGTAACAAGTCCT